TGTGTGTGTGTGCATGTGTGTTTTCTTGGCTATTGCAACAATGTATAATTAAAGAGAACTTTAAAGGGCTAGATTGGTGTTCATTGATGTCTGTGAGTCTAGAGTTTCTGGTCGCCCTCTGCTGGATAGGGTTCCCATAGCTTATTTCTCTTTCATTTTGAGGAGCTAGTGCATCTGGTGTTATTGTGGTACTCCTGCTATAGGGATTCTGGCTTCTACTGTGGCACAATAGTAAAAAACTACAAATCTTCCTTCACTTTTATATTTTGAGGAAGCTAGTGTGAGGCTCTGAGCTTAGCTGAATTTTGGAAGCTCTTTTTAGATGTTTAAAGAGATTGGCTGAGGTGTGTATGTGTGTGTATACATGCATGTGTGTATATTAAATCAACAAAAAGGATCTAATTGCTCTTTTCTGCGTTATTTGAGTGTTAGGTTAAAATTTTATTTTTGCTAAAAGTGAGATGCAGTCCACTGTTCACTTATTTTTTTAACTTTCTAAACCAGAACCCACAAACTGCTTTTACCAACAGGTATAGCATGACCCATACATGACTCAGCAAAGTGGATTTTGTCTCCACAGAGAATGCAACAACATGGAAATCCAAGTGGACATTGAGGCCAAACCAAGCCACTACCAGCTGGTGAGTGGAAGCAGCACAGAGGACTCGCTCCATGTTCATGCTCAGATGGCAGAGAATGAAGAAGGTAGTGGTGGCGGAGGCAGTGAAGAGGATCCCCCCTGCAAACACCAAAGCTGTGAACAGAAAGACTGCCTGGCCAGCAAACCTTGGGACATCAGCCTGGCCCAGCCTGAGAGCATCCGCAGTGACCTGGAGAGCTCTGACACACAGTCAGACGATGTGCCCGACATCACCTCAGATGAGTGCGGCTCCCCCCGCTCCCATACTGCAGCCTGCCCCTCAACCCCCAGAGCCCAAGGTGCGCCGAGCCCAAGTGCCCACATGAACCTCTCTGCTCCAGCTGAGGGACAGATTGTCTTGAAGCCAGAAGGTGCAGAAGTCAGAGTATGAAGTGGAATGAACGCTCCTGTTCTGAGAAGCACACTTGTCGTAACTGCATCTTTTAGAATCTTTTTTTGAGGGGGTGGGGTGGGGATTTATGTGTTTTATTTCAAAGATTCTCTGGTCCTAGGTTTTTCCCAGGGAAATTCTGAGAAAATTGCAATTTCTTACCAGATAAAACATGAAAAGTTTGCCCTTAGTCCCTCTGCCCTTCCCCCACCCTTTTTTAGTTTTAATTTATTGGTTCAGCTGATGGTGGCGATCTGTGAGGTGTGTCAAAGAGTGTACATATGTATGTGTGTATATTGTATGCTAAACGTATTACTGAAAGACACATTTTAATAAAGATTTCTGTCGTAATTCAACTTATCTCATTTTCCTTGGCTTGGGTAGTCCTACAGAGCCAAGTGTTTGAAACAGAGCATTAGTCTTTGACAGTCTCCACCTGAGTTTTTCTATTCCCAGGGAAGAAGGATTGTATTCAAATCCAACTACGGCGGAGTCATCTCTAAACCAGTGACTCTTAGTGTGACAGGGAGCAAAACTAGGCTTGTTTTGGCCTGTGTAGTCAGAGGGAAGCATTATTGGCTGAGTCAGCTAAGTAGGGAAGCAGTAGATTAAAACGGACCTTGTTTGCCCTCTAGAGGCAACTGCAGTTCACTGTTAAAGCTTTATTTACCCTTTTCTGCATGATGGTCACTGTTGGTCCTGTGCTTCAGAGGAGGAAGGGAGTGGCAGTCCCAGGTAGTTCTTAAGAGAGATCCCAGTGAATGTTACAAGCTGGGGAACAGAATATTCTGTTATTAGCGGAAGAAATATACTGATACTGCATAGTGAACAAGCGATAACATGGGTGTTTGCTGTGCTCTCAGGTACACTGCTCCCTGTTCCAAAAAGCTTTCTCAGTTTTGCTAATCTGGTTTAAATAAGAAAGACTAAGGAATCTGAGATTTGTAATGAAAGGAGAGGGGAGACATGCGATCAAAATCTGTGAACATACTTACCTGACCTTACAAATTCGTCAGAGTTGAGCTAAATTAATACTACTTGGAGTTTTGGTTCTGTCTAGAATAATGTCCTTAGAAATGAAAGCTCGTACACAATATAGCAAGAAAATTAAAAGGCTCATGAGACCTGATGTAAGAGTCCAAATCTGGCAGTAACTTACTTTGTGACTGTGCGAGTCAGTCACTCTCTCATGCCTCTACTTTCTCCAACTCTCAGACCATATTTAAGGAGCATCCAGTGCCATGCTTCTCTATCACCTTAGCCCTGGGCCCAGAGAAAGAACTGAAAACATCCTTTCTCTAGGGACCAGATGGCTTTCTGTTTTCCTTCACAGATGTACCTGTTCTTTGTCTTTCTGGCCCGTGTTTTACTGCAAGGAGGATGACCAGTCTGGACAACAGCCAACTTGGAAGATTCTCATCTCCTGGGCACTGCAGCCAGATTTAGCACATTTCCCTGCACCTGAGACAGGAAATACTTCTTTGGGTCTCTGGACGAAAGTGTCCTTGTGTGAAAAAGGGAACTTGTTCGAAAAAGAGGCAGACAGTCTGGAAATCTCTGAAATGCAAATTATCGCCTCAAAACTTGCAATTCTGTTGAAGCATCGCCAAGAGAAGCATTAACTTGAGTAAAATCAAAGAAATCTGATGGAGGGGCAGTAGTTTACAGCAAAACCTGCATTTCTTACCTGAGTTCCAATCCTTATTGCTTGGGCAGCTTACTATCTGAGTCTGTTTTCTTTTCTTTCTTTTTTTTTTTTAGTTTACACAAAGGCAATTTATTAACAGAAAATATTGGGGGGCCCAGTTCACAGACAGTGATCACAGCAACCCCCTTCCCTGCGGGTGCTGTTGGAAAGAATAGGGGTGACGTCCTCAATTCACCTGAGTGGGCCGGGGCTCTGAGGGCTGACTGAGTTCCAGATCCAGGGGTTTTGGTCCTATTTCTTCCTGCTGCCCGGAGTTTGATGTGCAGGGCAGTGATGTCCAGCTCCTTGCACCTCTGGGCCACCTCTTGGGCAGCCAACATGGCAGCATATGGTGAGGATTCGTCTCAGTCAGCTTTCACCTTCATCCCGCCAGTCACTCGGCAAAGGGTCTCCTTGCCAGAAAGATCAGTGACATGAACAAAGGTGTCACTGAAGGACACAAAGATGTGGCAAATACCAAATACGTTCTCTCCTTTGGCCACCTGAGGTCCAAGGCTTATGACCTGTTCTTCCTTCTTTTCCTTCCCCTTTTGAGGTGCCATTTCTGTGTGTTGTCTCCAGACTCCACACCAGAATGAGCTGAGTCTATTTTCTCTCTCTTTTTTTTTGAGACAGTCTCACTCTCTTGCCTGGGCTAGAGTGCCGTGGTATCAGCTAGCTCACAGCAACCTCAAACTCCTGGGCTCAAGCGATCCTCCTGCCTCAGCCTCCCAGGTAGCTGGGACTACAGGCACGCACCACTGTGCCCAGCTAATTTTCTCTATTTTTAGTTGTTTGGCCAATTTCTTTCTGTTTTTAGTAGAGACTGGATTTCGCTCTTGCTCAGGCTGGTCTCGAAGTGAGCTCAAGCAATCCTCCCGCCTCGGCCTCCCAGAATGCTAGGATTACAGGCGTGAGCCACCACGCCCAGCCTGAGTCTATTTTCATTTACACAAAATGAGGATAATAATCCTAAATATGGGGTTGTAAAGAGTAAGATGGTATACTGAAAATACCTTTGGTAAAGTCTCGTGTTTTTCACTCCTGCAGGAATAAGAAGAAATAAATTAGAGATTCTAGGTATCATAAGAAAGGAAGCCTAGAACTCTAGGCCAGAGGCTATGAATAACTTAGGTTCGTTCTATTAATAATCCTTCGCAGCACTACTGTTGTATCGCCCAGACAAGCAGATGAAAAGGCCTGTTGGCACCACCCAGAGGAGAACCTGAGTAATGCATTGGAAAAGTTAGTTCTCAGCTTGGAAAATGGGGAGAGTTTCATTTCCTCTTCATACAGCCTTCATTCATTCTGAAATACTACATTTTAGATGTGGGATGTAGCAAGAAGTAAGATGCAAAATTCCTGTCCCCATGGAACTTACACTCTAGTGGGGGAAAACAATCAGGTATATAATCTGGATGAGGATAGGTACACTAAAGAAAAGACAGGGAAGAGAGTGGTAAATGGTGCTACTTTAAATGGCCAGTTTAGTCCTTTTTGATAAGGGTACATTTTATTAGAGACCTGAACAGAGCAAGGAAGAGAACCACATGAACATCTAGGAGAAGGACACACCAGACACGAATAAAGTACAAAGGCCCATTGGGGGAGCATCCTTGAACTGTTTCCAAACAACACACTAAGAGGCCTATGTGGCTGGACAAAGCAGGCCAAGGCAGGGAGAGTGGTAGATTAGGTTGAAGAGGTAGCTGGGGGCAAAATTATGTAGATCAGCAAAAAAAAAAAAAAAAAAAAACTCTGAAGACAAGGAAATTTTAGGTTTCTCTGAGACCAGGAAGAGAGATCATCTTCAAAGCCAGACAGATGGGTGCTTGCAGTAAACTTTCAAGGGGTCTGAAACTGGTAGGAGAGCGTGTCTCGTCACTAGTCCTTCTAGGATAGGCTGATGTAAAGCTCGTGGCTATAGTAAATGGGTGGTTCTCATTTATTCTGACCTCCCAGTGTGCTGCCTTGTACTGCAGGGGCTGGCAAGCTAAAAACTTTATGTCTTAGATTTCCTTGAAACTAAGGTTCTGATGTAACTTAAGGTGGCTAAGTTCTGCCAATGAGATGCATAAAGAAGATGTAAAAGGAAGAAGTGAATCAGGGGTTATCTTTAGCTACTTTGGCTATTGCTCCTGCAAGATGTAGGTAGACACCTTAGGTTTCTTGTCAACAGCATTCCAATGTCCATCAATAGCTCTTGAAGGTGTCCTGATCCATAAATGGCAGTTTGTGGGATGTGTTCTTGTAGTCAGCCTGTGGTGACCTGATTCCTCATTTCCCCAGTGGTGGCAGAGGTAGCAGTTCCCATGTAGGCCAGTTCTACATCTGGGAATCTCCTGGGGGACTAGCCTACAACCCTCTTGCCCAGGCTTTCCACCTAATTTACCTGTGTCGAATCCTTTTCTACTTAAAATTGATAGAGGAGTATTGTTTCCTGCAACTACTGACTAATACAGTATTTGGTTCCAAAAGCAGTTACAGGCAACAGGCCCTCAAAGATAAGACTCTTAGATTAGTTATGACTACGTTGCATTTGAAGGGAATGAAAATGGTAAACTGGTAGGCAAAGGTTACTTATGCCTGTGGTCACCTGAAATGTCTTTTGGAGGAAAGACAGGCAGATCAAGGGGCTGCTGTGATAGATCGTCATGTAAGAAATGAGGACTTAGATGGTGAGTGTGCTAGAGGTTAAAGGAAGAAAGTGAAAAGCTCGAAAGTTCCAAATTTTCAGTTCAAGACATGCACAGGAGAACCCGAAAAGAATTTTATCTCTTGTAGCTGCAAGGCTGGTGTACATGAACATCAAATGGAGATTCTAGGTCATTGAATTACAACATAAGCTTAATTCGCAGCTTTACTAGGCCTCTTCTGTGAAAGGTAGGGCGTTGTCTGGGAAAGAGTGGGACCTGGTGCTGTGAACCCACAGTCTCCACCCAGCTTCTCTTAACTAGCAGAAGCAGCCCTTCTCCCCCTCACAGATACGGCTGGTTCTATTGCTTGGAGACCCTGGGGTAGTTACCTTGAAAGGAATGCCAATACTTCTCATGCCCCACGCACTATCCCTCCTTGCTACCAGATCTAACCAGACTCAAATCCCAGTATGCTTCTGAAAGGCAAACACAACGTCTGATCTGAAAGAAGATTTACAGAAGAATTGTAAGATTTTGCTAATTTGTATTAGTAGAAACCTGGGGAATGTATGTGGACTGGATTCTAAAGCCGCTACAAGAAAGGATCACAAATTTATTTTTGCCTGGGTTGGATTTATCAATATAGGCATACTAGAGATTCTGGATTCAGTATATTGGCTTTAGCAGGTAAGAATGGCTCTTAGCTGGTTGGTTGGATGAACCCCGGACTTAAGTGGCCTATACTCAATGAAATTGAGATGCCAGAAATTCCTTAGTATAGCATCGGAAGAAGAACCAAAATCATGGTGATAGAAATGTTGATTGTAGATTTGTCATATGTGTGACCTACTTATCTCCTAGGTTTTGCCCTCCAGAATTGCCCAGAGGTTATTCCTTTCACCGAAGAACTGGAAAGTACATAAATAATGGAGACACCTCATCTTGCAAAGTGCTGTAGTGCATAGTGCTGGGAATGAAGCTGAGAGATGCTGCCACTGAGACGGGATCCCTAATATCAGTAGGGATGAGGGGATCCTGCAGTGACGGGGCCAAGGGGTAGCACCGAGGCGACAGAGCTGGAGCAAAGAAATACAGGGTAACCTGCTAAGGTCCCACTTGGTTTATATAACACGAAACAAGACTCAGGCAAATAAGAGGGCTGTTTTGAACCACCAAAATGGAGAGTTATGGATACTCAATTCTCAGAGCTGAGGTCATTGAATAAAGGGGTGCAGGGTACCCTGGACGAAGCACCCAGCGATGCCACCATAACTGTATCGTTTTCCCCAAAGGGGTCTTAAGCCATTTACCTTTGCACCTGCGCTTAGGGAAATGGAAACACACAAGCCTTTAGGGATTCCTTGGAGACTGGCCCTAAGCCAGCACAAATCCTAAAAAGTTTCTATGGTCCACTAGTTAGAATAGGGGATTTGGGGGTGTTATGGGTTGAACTGTGCCCCTCCAAAATCACATGTTGAAGTCCTAGCCCCCAATACCTCAGGTTAGGGTGAGGCAGCAGAAGCCAAGGAAGACCAAGGATGGCCAGCAAACCACCAGGAGCTGGGACAGGCATAGAACAGAGTCTCCTTTACAGCCCTCAGAAGGAACCAGCCCTGCCAACACTTTGGTCTGGGACTTCCAGCGTCTAGAGCTGTGTGGCGATACATTTCTGTTGTTTACGCCACCCAGTTTGTGGTACTTAGTTACGGCAGTCCTAGCAAACTAATACATGGGGGCTGAGTGGTAAAACGAAGCTCGGGCGTGGGTCTATCTCACATACCCACTCTGTGGTCATTCCCCAGTTCCTGTAGGCACAGTTGTAATAGACACACTTGGCAATGGTAGGACCTTCACAATGACTGGCCCGTGGAGTGAAAGCTTTTGTGATGAGAAGAGCAGAGAGAACCCCTGGCATCGCCCTTTCCCACCAAAATCATAAACCAAAAGCAACAGTGCATCCCTGAGGGAAGCACGCACGGTTATTAGTGCCACCGTCAGAGACTGAGAAATTCAGGAGTGATGATTCCTATCTTACCCACGTTTAACTTACTTGCTTGGCCTATGCAGGACTTGATTTGCAGCTGTTATTTCAGATATAATCTCTT